CCCCCCCCCCGGCGTGTCTGCCGCTTTTTTTCCCTGGACCCCCGGAGCCCGGGCCCCTGCGGCCTGTTTGCGTGGCTTTCTCGACCTCGCACTACCCGGGCAGCCCCGGGGGAGGCAGAGGAGCTGGGGCGCGGGGGCGCTGGCAAATGCAATTAGCCGTGGACGGTGCGGCCGCACCTCGAACACACAGTGCATGGTACTTGGGTTCCTACCGCCTGTATTAATTGGCCACCGGGACAAGGAACATGGGTGGCGCATGGTGCGCCGGACTGTGTGATGCTGCTAGATGAGCGAGGGAAAATCACCGACGGGCTCGGGAGGGGGGGGGGGCGTGCGATGCTTATGTGACACGGCGGAGCCAAAGTGCCACCGGCCCCAACACCCGAGCATGAGAAAGGCAAGCGCCCCTTGCTCGAGACATGCCCGGGCCGGGGCCGCACTCAGGGCGCCTATGCGGGAGGGTCGACCAGCACGCGGCACAGCGGCAGCGCGAGGCCTACACGTTGCGGTCCTGCGTCCGCCGGCGATCGCGGCGCTTCACCGGTGCGAGCGCCTTCTGACGCCCCCGTGTCCCTTCCCCCCTTTCTCGGGGCGATGTCCGGGATGCCGTTCGGCGGTTCGGGTGTCTTTTTTTTTTTTTGCCCGCGCCCAGACACCGACCGGGCTCTGCCGGTCCTGGTGCATGGCCTTGCGGGCAGACTAGCGAAAGGGCCGCGATGGCCCCGCATGGGGGCGTGCGCGAGAGCGAAGTGCTCGGGACGTCGCTGGGTCCATGTTGCGCCGCGTCCCCCCCCGCCCCCCCCTCTCCCTGCGCCGGAAGCCACGAGGACCATGGCCTGAAATACATGCGCCTGATGGCCGCCCGCACACAGCCATCCACGGGCACGGGCTTGACGCGGGTGCCGGGAGTCGCTCTCACCCGGTCCCTCTCACCCGGTCGCTCTCTCGACGTCCCTTCCCTCGCCCTGTGGATTCGCCGCCGCGCACCGGCCCGGTCTCCTTCCGTCCCCCCGCGTCCCCGCCGTCCCCTTGCCATGTGTGCACTGGGAGGTGTTGCCCTCGCCCGGGGGGCCCCGCGTGTGGTCACAGCACGCGCGAAGATACCGCCACATCGTCTTTCGTTTCCGGTTCTTTTATATGCTTGTGTTTTAAAACCTGAGCGCGGGCGCACACACACGTGCGCGCGCGCGGAGAACTTTCTCTCTATCTTCGAGCAGGCGAAAGGCACGCGGCGCCTTCCCGTTACGCTGGATGGAGGGGGGCGCACACGCGCGGGAGACCCGGTGGCGCGGCTGAGGACCGCCCGGCACCATCGTGCGCGTATGTATGTGCCATTCTCACGGGGGGGGGGGCGAGATGGGCGCGGGCGCACGCACATGCAGCGGTGCGGCTCTCGCAGGCGAGGCGCGGTTCACCCCTGGCCTCTCTCTCCCCGTCGCACGCCCGGGCAGACGGGCCTTCCCCCCGTCGGAGGAGCAGCAAGGCTCCCTCCCCGAGAGAGCAGGCACACGCCTGGCCGGCGGCCCGACAAAAAAAAAGGCACCGCTGGCCACACACACATGATTGGAGGGAGGACAGCGGGGACCCGGGGCGCCGGGGGGAAAGAGGCGATGTGCCCATCCCCCCTCGGGAGTCCCCGCCTCTTGGTGTTGTGCCCTCGCGCGCGGCGGGCCGCGCCGCGCCCCGGGTCCGCCTACCAGCGCCCACCCATCATCCGTCGGCATGGCACTGTGCGTGCCCCTGTGCATACACACACACACACACAGTGAGACAGACACGCGAGCACGGACACACGGCCAGGCGGGCGAGGCAGACGCGGAAAGAGGGAGTGCGCGAGCAGCAGCAGGGACGGGGGGCCGGGCGCGGGCACAGCCGGCCACGCCCGGAGCCATGTCTCCCCCCGCCCCCCCCCCCCTGTGGCCAAATCAGCAGCGGATGCAAGTCCACGACCCGTGGGTGCGGATCCACACGCCCGGGGTGCCGGTGGTCAGGCCGGCCGGGGGCCGGGACTCGCGGATGGCACTGCCGCCGAGGGTGGACACCGGGGCGGCGTCGGCCGCCACGGCGGGGCAGGCCGACGGCGACGAGTCGCGCGCCAGGGCCGGGGCCGGGTGCTCGGCGCCGCGCCAGCCGCAGGCCGAGGCGCCCTGGCTGCGCGGGTCGTCGCTCAGGGTGACCAGGGCCACCCGGCGCGAGACCTCCGGGTTGCGATCCAGGGCCCGGAGGGCGGCCTGGTTGCTGACCTTCTGCCGGAGCGAGGCGAAGGGGGACTTCAGCAGCATGGCCCGGCGCTCGAGCAGCGCCGGCGACGGGCAGGGCGGCAGCTGGACCCAGCTGCCGTCGGCCTGGCGGATCCACACCAGCCGGCGCCAGCAGACCGGCTGCTGGCCCGGGCCCGGGGGCGTCATGGCCAGGAGGTCATAGTACTCGGCGGCATTGTCGGCGGACAGCCAGCCGCGCGGGGTGGACCCGTAGCGCATGTTCTGGCTGCCGGCGTCGAGGGCCATGGCCGGGGCGGGGGCGGGGGCCGGGGGGGCGGCGGCGGCGGCGCGGGCCGGCACCGCCGGGGCGGCGGCGGCGGCGGGCGCGGCCCCCGGGGTGCGGCGGTGGCGGCGCTCCGCGGCGGCCAGGGCCGCGGTGGCCACCGACACGGCCAGGTCCGCCAGCGACAGGAGGCTGGCCGGGGGGTGGGGCGACGACGCCGGGGCGGCGGCCGCGGCGGTCGGGGGGGAGGAGGCGCGGCGCGGGCGCGGCGGGGCCACCGGCTTGGCGGCCACCGCGGCCACCGCCGCCGCGGCCTTCGAGAACTCGGTCACCGTGATGGCATCCGACAGGACGTGGGGGAAGCGATCGCGCGCGATCTGGGCCGCCACCTCGGCCAGGGTGGAGTACGACCGGATGGTCACCGGCCGGGCGGCGGGGGCCGGGGCCACCGGCTTGGCCGGCGGCGCCGGGGCCACCAGGCTGCCGCCGCCGGCCACACTGTCGGCCGGGCTGCTGGCCATCGGCAGGGGCGGGGGCGGGGGCGGGGGCGGGGTGGCGGTCGGCCGCCGGCGGCGCCCCGCGCCGAAGGTCGACCGGGCCACCTCCTGCGAGCCGGCCTCGTGGATGTACACCGGGCCCTGGAAGAGCCCGGCATCCATGGTGGCCGCCGCCGGGTCAAAGCCCCGGACCACGATGGTGGGCTTCAGGCACTTGGGCGGCGGGGGCGGCGGGACCACGGTCAGGCTGCCGCCGGTGCCGGCCGCCGCGCGCGCCTTCAGCTCCATGGTGGCCGCCGGCAGGGCGCTGCTGCCGCTGCCGCTGCCGCTGCCGCTGCCGCTGCTGCTGAAGAGGTAGACCTTGCGGCTGGCGGCCAGGCGCGAGGCGCCGACGGCCGCGGCGGCCGCCGCCACCGAGGCGTAGCTGCTGCCCGGGGCCGGGGCGCGGGGCGGGGTGGCCGGGGCCGGGCGCCGGGCCCGGCAGCCGGGGCTGCCGTCGGCCGAGCCGCCGGTCCACGAGCACCGCTGCTGGGACCCGGTGCACAGGCGGGTCTGGGCCACGAGGGCCGCCTGGCGGCCGGCCTTGCGCACGATGCGGCGCTGGCGGCCAATGCGCGCGGCCGCCGCGATGCACACCCGCCGGCGGACGTGCAGCTGGGTGTCGACGTCGGCGCGGTTGCGGGCGGCCGCGGCGGCCGCCGCCGCGAAGGCCACCGCCAGGCGCGTGCGCTGGTGGCTCTCCTCGATGGACATGCCGGCGGTGGCGGCCGCGGCGGCGGCGCCGGACGAGCGGCACGTCTGGGCGCACACGCGCGCCAGCTTGGACTCCCACTGGCGGATGAACTGGTCGTAGATGCGGCGCGTGGTGGCTGCGTGTGTGTGCGTGTGTGTGTGTGTGTGTGTGTGTGTGCGGGGCCCGCGCGATGGACTTGCTGTTAGCAATAGGTCGCGAGGCGGGGCCTTGCCCCCTCGTGCATATTTGCCGGCCGCATGCGCCGGGTGTGCGTGCACACGGCTGGCCCCAGGCGAGGGCCCCCATCGTTCCCGGTCACGCTGCCCGGCCCACCCCGACCGCCACACCATGCGCGCGAGAAAAGCATGCGCACCATCAGACAGAATGCGATACGCGGTCAGGAACATGTCGGTGACAATGCGCGAGGTCTCCTGGGCCTGGGCCGCGCCGGCCAGGCTGACGGCCGGCGAGCTCTGGCTAGTGTAGAAGGTGGCCTGGGCGGCGCTGGCGGCGCCGGCCACGCGGCCGCGCCGGGCACCACCCTCCGGCCGGTGGAGGTAGTGGTGGTGCTCATGGTGGTGGTGATGCTTGTGCTTGTGGTCGTGCTCGTGCTCATGCTCGTGGTCGTGGTCGTGGTCGTGGTCGTGGTCGTGGTCGTGGTCGTGGTCCGGGTCGTGGGGATGCTCATCATCGTGGCCCGGGTGGTTCGGGTCATGCGGGTCATGCGCACCGGCGGCCAGGCGATCGAGGCTCTTCAGCGGGTCGGCCGCCACGCAGACGCTCTGCATGAAGCTGTAGAGCGGGGGGCCAAGGGGGCCGGCGGCCGAGGAGGCATGTGCGTTCGCATGTGTGCAGGTGTGTGAGCGCGGGGGCACTGGAAGAAGTCGCAAAAGGAGGCCAGCATGCGAAGAGCCTGGCCGCCCCACCAGTGAACGGGTAGCAGCGGCCGCGGGGGGGGGGGGGAACGCACGCAACACGGATGTCCGCCAGCGAGGCATCCCTCGGGACATTGAGCACCTGGTAGTAATCCACGAAGGGATACATTCTATGTCGGGGATCGGGGCGGCGGCGGCGGCGGCGGCGGCGGCGGCAGGGCGGCACAGCATGTCAGCGTTCGCTTCTCGGCGCGCAGGCGCGACGCAGGGCTCACGCCCGGGCAGGGCAGGAGGCGTCGCGCCGGCAGGGCAGCACAAGTGGGCGGGGCGGTGTGTGTGTGTATGTGGGGGCAAGCTCGCGGGCGCGGTGCCAGAGCGAAGGGGGCAAGGGAACAGCGTGCAGCATGCGAGGGGGGGGCGGGGCGGGGGGCAAGGACGGCAAGGCGGGCGGGCCCCGGCGAGGAAGAGGGGCCGGGGGCGAGGGCGGCGCGGAGGGCACGAACATTGTGTTGTGGCAGACGAGAACGCGAGGCGAAGCGAGGGGAAACAAACGAGGCACACGGGCTGCAAAGGCAAGGCGCGAGGGCGGAGGAGGGGGAGGAGGGGCATTCGGTACTCGTTGGTTGGGGGGCCTGGCTCCGGCGGCCTGGTGTGTGCCGCTTCTTATAGCGTGGTCGAGTGGCCGCCGCTGGCGCGGGCTGTGCCGCCACGACAGAGCCGGCGCCGGGGGACCGGGACACCCTCCGGGCCGCGTGTCCCCGGGCGCCTGTCGGACAAAGGGGGGGGGGGGGACCGATCGCGCACACGGCCCACGATCGGGTGTGGCCGGCTGGCCGGCCGGCCGGCCGGGAGGGCTTCCGTGCGCCCATCCCCCCCTGCCCCGCACGCGCACCCATGCATGCACACACGCCAGGGGCCGAGACAAGCATGGGCCCGCCCTCGCACCCACACCCGCGCAGCAGCCACCCACACAGGGACATGCGGGTGCGTGTGAATGGTCGCATGTACGTGCACATGCATGTGAGCGCATGCGCGTACAACGAGGCGCACGCACATGCAGGCAGTGGGCACGCGACTGCCGAGAGATCCGCCCCCCGTTCACCCCCTGCAGTACACGCACACGCCCGGGCCCGCACACACCACCAGGTGCGGCCGGCCAGCCGGAGGGGGAAGGAGGGAAGGGGGGCCAAAAGGAGCGGATACGCTCCCCTTCTCGGCCTTCGCTGCCCCCGTGCTGATTGCCCCCCTCGCCAGAGGGGCCCGCAAACAAACGGCCCCGGGGGAGGCGCTCGGCCCACTCCCCTCCTCCCCCCTCCCCCCCCCCCCCCACACACACACCTGGATCCCACATGTGGCTGTGTGTTAACATGCCCCATGTTGGCGCACGGCCCGGCAGGCAGGGCCCAGGCGCGGCCCCGGAGCAAGGGGGCGGGCCCGGGAAAAAAGGCCGGCCCGCTGTGTGCCGCGCGCGTTCGCGCGGCTGCCCGGTAGCCCCTCCCCCCCGCTGGTCCTGGCTGGGCGGACTTTCGCCAGCCTCGCAGCGCCTCGGGGGGCGCCGGCGGCGACGACAACGGCACCGCCGACGTCGAGAGCGCGCACGATCGCCCGGGGCCCGCCGGGCGGCCGAGCGATTGAG